CCAAGTGATTTATTTGGGCCGCCCACTGGATATCGGCCCATCACTATCGTCGGATAATAATAACAAATAGTGTAATACATTATTGATTTTACCCTCACGGCCTCACTCATGTTATACTCCGGGTATAGTTTATTTGAATTAGAATAGAGAAAAATTTCTTTTGCGTAAATGTTGTGCACATTAGGTATTAAAAAAAGGAACACTTCTAGAGCCACTAGCTCCCGTAAATTGACTTTTTTGGTTCGACACTTAAGTATTGACAACAGCTAAATTCAATTTGCTATATTGACACTAGCTATACTTGACTTCCACTATTTTTTTTAAAAAAACTATATGCTCTGGTATTTTTTTATTAAATTATTTATCTCCCATTTGTTACACATTTTAGTAAAACACTCAATCACAATTTTTTGTTTCCTAATTTACATGTCTTAATTAACCCATGTCTCAAAATGGCAAATTGTGTGATTTACACTTATTCTTATTCATTCTTAATTTTTAACATTAGTATCAAACCCATTTTTTCATTTCTTAATTTACATGTTACAAAATCATATCCCAAAATAACGAGACAAACTACATTTTTTTGTTGTATTAGTTAATAGAAAAAATAAACATAAACCATTCAACATATGTTCGATCATGCTTTGTAATTTATACGTTAAAATAATCACCGCTTGTGATATGTTCACAAAAATAACTTGAGCACACTAACAATCTTAATTTAATTTTTTCATCTTCGATTGAACCAAAGGTTTGTTTTTTTATTTTGAATTACATTTGACCAAATTGACCCCCTTAACCCTCAATACGTAGGAGCCCTTGAGATATTAGGGCATTGTTGTAAAAGGAATGATTTAGATTAGACTAAAAATAATTTCAAAGTAAAGCCAGCCACAACAATAATTTCAAAAGGAAAACTTCTCAAGTTAGTCTGGTGAAAGAGTTCACAACATGTAATTATTTTAGTAAATGAGGACATGGGTTATGACTTGTAAATTTAAAGAATTTTGATTGACAATGACATTTACAAAATACTCAGTAAGAAAAAGTAAAAATGAGCTTAAATCACATAAATATAATGAAATATAGCTTTGAACAAAAATACAATGACAGAAAGGGATTTAAAAATCAGTAAATAAATGAAGTAAAAATTATTTTAATTAAAAAATTTAAAAAATAAAGTAGAGTGCAAAGTAAAAGCTTATGTCAATATAGCGAAGTGAATTTAGGCCCTATCAATTGTGGAGTGCAACTCAAAGTGCTGTGATGAGCCAAAAAAAACAATTTAGGCCCGGTTTGGTACATGGAATTTGATGGACAATAAATTCACCGAATGATCCGATTTAGAAGAACGGATCGTAAAGAGAGAATTAAGAACAAGAACTCGAGAATTAGGTGTGTATTATTAGCTTTATTTCGCCCTCTCTTTTTCCCTTCCGGGTCTCTTCTATTTATACATAGGTTCTAGACAATTAAGGTAATACATAATCAACGGGTGTCCGTTATGTCATTGGTGCGATCCACTTTTTCCGGCTCCGTCTTCGCCATCCAGCTCCGTCTTCTCCTCTGGCCCGGCTCTGCCAGCGTGTCTCTGTTTATGTAGACTGGGCTCCGTGTCGTAGGCCGGCCCATGCTCCAGCATCTCTCGTGCGCACCTGACCCGGACTTTGTTAACTAGTTCCTTTGGGCCGCCCACTGGATGTCGGCCCACCACAAGCCCCCCAACTCCTCATTTCTCAACTGGGCCACGTTGAGGGATGGGGAGTTTACGAGGTCCACGTGGGCGTTCCAGCACGGATTCGGGTCGTTCCTCGGGTTTCGCTGGACGTTTGGCACGATCCCCACTGCAAGGTAATCATGACATGCTGTTTCGCCTTCCTATTGCCTGTTAAAACCGCTGCTAGACGCCAATCCACCTCATTTTCCTTCTCAATTGCTCTTGCGTTCGTTTCCGTTTCCGCCATTACCCGACCCGTTTTTCTCCTGTCTCAGGTCAGTTTCTTCTTTTGCCACCATGATTATCTCTGATTCTGATTCCGCATCGTCCAAGTGATTTATTTGGGCCGCCCACTGGATATCGGCCCATCACTATCGTCGGATAATAATAACAAATAGTGTAATACATTATTGATTTTACCCTCACGGCCTCACTCATGTTATACTCCGGGTATAGTTTATTTGAATTAGAATAGAGAAAAATTTCTTTTGCGTAAATGTTGTGCACATTAGGTATTAAAAAAAGGAACACTTCTAGAGCCACTAGCTCCCGTAAATTGACTTTTTTGGTTCGACACTTAAGTATTGACAACAGCTAAATTCAATTTGCTATATTGACACTAGCTATACTTGACTTCCACTATTTT